AATAGCATGTTTCAAATGGACTTTACAAGAAGACATATAATACAACGAAATTATCCACTTGAGAGAGATATGCGTGCGTGTGTGTGTGTGGGTAAAAATATCCTGTCTATTGTGTAGAAGGGAGCTTTAAATTGCAGCTGGATTAAAATTACAATGGGTTGATAGAAAATACTTGTTCTTGAAAAATGTGAGGGCTATGATGGTCTTTGAAAAGATCTGAAAATTTAAATAATAATTTTCAAGTAACAAATAAGGGAAATTTTCATGGAATTGACCTACCCCCTGGCCAACTCTCAAAATATCCTTTAACCAGAGAAATTTCCAGCTAACTACTATTTCCTACATTTCCTACGTAATTTTCGTTCTCTTAAAAAGGATATCACATAGTATCCTATTTCAATAATTTTCATGCTCATTAACGGCTATTTTTCGGACGACAATCCGCAAACGTTTGTTGACATAATTTACCGTTAGTTATTGGCCTTCATCGTAATTATTATGTGGATTTTTTTTCTGGCTATAAAGAGTGCCGTAGAAAAACCACCGCTACGGAAGAATAAATAGTCTCGTAACGAGACTAGGCCATAAACGAAAGACCAGTGTTATTTATAGCCATCATTAATGGATTAAACCAAAAGAAGAACAAAACACTTAATGGCCAACCGTAACGGTGTTAATTTGTGTTTATTTGATTTTCGGCAGGATATTGGCAAATAACATGCACACGTGTGTATCCTTTGAGAAAACTATAAAATGCAGACATTATGGGTGGGGGAACTATTTGCACCCCTTTATCAGTTTTGCTGGGAAACAACTATTAAAAAAGTAAGATAGGCTTTTAAAATATCTTTGTTAGAGGCTCTTAAAATCCTTTAAAAATATTCTTAATAAAATCACTTTGAAAGCTCGTTTAATAAAATTCTTCTAAAATCCACATTATAAGCTCTAAATATATTCTTAAAAAAATACGTGGAAATTTTGAAAGTTATATTAAAAAAATGTTAACATTTCATGATATAAGCCCTAAAAATACTCCCAATGTAACATTTGAAATATTAGATAAATCCACGTGGAAAACTATAAAAACATCTTTGAAAAATATTTAAAAAAAATCACATTAAAAGCTTTGTGTATTCTTTGATCCATATTCCGTCATAGGATCATGTTGAAACCTCTGAAAATATTTCAAAAATATCGAAAATGGAAGCCTTTAAAATCACTTCTGAATTTCCTTTGAAAACCCATTATTAAAGATTTTCGATTTGATAGTTGTGAAAGATTTTTATGAACATTCTCTAAAGTCCGAATATCCTTTGGAAATATTTTAAAAATCCACAATAACATTTCTGAAAAATACAAGTTGTAAAGTATGAAAATCTTTTAAAAACTTCACAAAAAAACTCTGAAAATATTTTTAAAAAAATCCACGTGGTAGAAAATTTAATATTTTTTGAAAAATATTTTATAAAACCACATTGAAACTTTTGAATATCCTTAAACAATATTCTTCTAAAAGTGCATTAAAAAAATCAAAATTGGAAGCCCTGGATATATTTAAAAAATTGTATTAAATAATTGAAGTTGGAAGCTGCGATTATCCTTTGAAAAAATATACCTTAATATCTGATGGAAGCTCGAAATATCCTAAGAAGAATATTTAAAATTAAATGAAAGTTGGATGGCGGAAATTGTTTTGAAAACTACAAAAAAATGTTTTGGGTGTTCTGAAGGTCCTACGAACTATTCATAAAAACACGTTAGGAATTCTAAAGATCTTTTTGAAAAATATTTTAAACAATCCTTGTTATGAATGTTTAAAAACAACCTAGGTTGAAAGCTCCGAATATCCTTTGAAAAAATATTGCAAAATATGCAAAGGTCCCAACGTCCTTTTTTAAAAATCCCCAGTTTCAGCCATTAACACTTTTTTGAAAAATATTTTCTTGAATATCCGCATTGGAAGCTCAGATTATTCTTTGAAAAATATTCTTTTAAGATTCCCCATTCGTAGCTCCAAATATCAATAAAAATACATCCTCAAATCCATAGAGCTTCCTGGGTATCCTATTTAAAACTATAAAAACTTATCTTTAAATATCCATTTTGGTGGTTCTGTAACTATCCTTTGAAGACATTTCTTTAAAAATCCGCATTTTATGGCTCGTAATGTCCTTTAAAGAAATATTTTTAAAAATCCACATATCCTTTGAAGGAATGTCCTCTAACAAAAATAGTTTTAAAAATTAACATTGTATGGCTCTGAATGTTCTTTATTTCGAAACAATTCACGTTGGATGCTACCACGTTGACAATATTTAAAAATAACTACGTTGAAAAAAAGGAATGTCCTTTGAAAGTATCTTTAAATAGCTCGTAATGTTTTTTTGAAAAATATTCATCATTAGAAGAACTAAACATCGCTTAAAATATATTTTTAATAAAATCCAGGTTTTGTGTCTCTCTTTTGAAAACACACATGGGAAACTCTGAATGCCCTTTGAGACACATTTTTGAAAAAAAAAAAACCACGTTGGCAGATCCGGATTTCCTTTGAACAGTATTATTTAAATATATTTTAAAAAATTGAAAATCTTAAAACAGTCTCCGTAATAAGCTCTGAATGTCCTTTTCTTACGAGTTCACGTTAGAAACATCGATTAGTTTTAAAAAAAATCCTTAAAATCTACATTGAAAGCCCTCAGTATCATGTTAAAAGCAATCTTAAATAATCACCAAGCCGGAAGCTCGAATTGTCTTTAAAAAAATTATTTAAAAATATAAAATGGTTAAAAAAAATTAAAAAAAACACGTTGAAAGCACCGGGTGTTTTTGAAAATGCTTTGAAAAATATTAAAAGAATCCAATTTAAAAAATCCATATGTCCTTTTAAAAAAATCTACTTTAGAAGCTCGTAATGTCTATTTAAAAATTATTTTTAAAAATTCAATAGTCCTAAAATAATTCACTTTCCTTTGAAAAATTTCCCTCTAAAAATTTAATTGAAAATTCCGAATATTTGTAAAATATTTGTTTGAAAAAACATGTTAGAAGCTGCGAATATTCTTTGAAAAATATTTTTTAAAAATCCACGCTTTGTGGCTCTAAATGTCGTTTGAAAAATACATATAAAATTTACCTCTAAATGTCCTCTGAAAATACCTTAAAAAGCCAAGTTTTGTGGTAATTTAAAAATTTTCTGAAAAATCCACGTTTTGTGGCTCTGAATGTCCTTTGAGAAATACTTTTCAAAATCCACCTTTCTGAATGTCTCTGTGTCCCTGAATGTCTTTTGAAAAATATTATTAAAAATGCACGTCTTATGACTCAGACGGTCCTTTACAATTATACCTAAAAAATACATTTTTTACAACACTAGGGACCCTTTAAAAATGTTTAAGAATTTCCAAGTTTTGTGGCTCTGAGTGTGCTCTAAAACATATTTCCAAAAATCCTTGAATAAATCTTTTTATCTTTGTACTTCTAAATGTCCTTTGAAAAATATCTTCAAAAAATCGCGTTTTTTGACTCTGGATTTTCTTAAAAATATATTTATAAATGCTTTTGAAAATCCACGTTTTTTGCTCTGAAAATCCTTAAAAATACATATTTAAAAAATCCCCGCACCTATAAATGACCTTTGGAAAAAACCTCTAAAAATCTACGTTTTGTAGATATAAATGGGTATTGAAAAATACCATTCAAAAATATTAATCCAATAATTGCGGTACTAAGATTCTTGGAAATTGTTTTTAAAAATTTTTATATTTTGTAGCTCTGAATGTCCTTGGAAAAATATTTTCAAAAATCCAGGTTGTTTGACTCAGAATTCCTTGAAAATTTATATTTTAAAAATCCACGTTGGGAGCGCGGAATGTCTATTTGAAGAACATTTTTTTTTTAAATCCCAAATGTACCCTAAAAAATATTTTTAAAAATCAGCATTTAGTGTCTGGGAATGTGTTTGGAAAAAAATTAAAAAGTCCACGTTCCTTTTTAAAAAATCTTAAAATAATCTTTAAACCCCCATTTGGGGTTATGATAACCCTCAAAAATTAGAAAAAAATTACTTTTTGTTTTAAAAATATTTTCAAATATCCTTTAAAAAACGTTCAAAATAATATTTGATAAATCTACCTTAAAAGTTCTTTAAAAAATTTTGTTTAAAAACAATTTCTTTAGCAATAATAAAACAACACAAGACAAAAAAGGCTCTTGAAAATTAATAAAACCAATCTTTAAATAAAATATTTACAATAAATTATTCTTTGGGCTCTAAAGCACCACTATTAACTCTCAAGTGAAAAGTACTCTTCAAGTATTAAAGGTTCTTTAAAATTATTCATAAAAAACTCGATTTTTAAAACTGCCTTAAAAGCTTTGAAAGTTAATAAAATTGACTTTAAAATCTCATTAAGAAACATTTAAAAGAAATTATCCTTTGAGCTCTAAAGACTCCACTTGTAAAGCTAAAATTAAAAAAAATACTAAATTTTTCAAAAAAGTCTTAAAAACTTTACAAAATTGATAAAAAAATATATTTTTATTAGACCTCGCCAAAAATTAAAAGTCCTTCGCTTGGGGTTCTGTTAGTCCTTGAAATATTTTTTTTTTAAAGAAACAATAAATGGGAAACTTCAAAAAAAAAATTGCCAAAACCAGTAGATCAAAAATGGGGATCCTGAGAGAATATTTTCAGTAATATAGGAATATTAAAAAGCAGTACAAAACAGCTTTTTAATATTCTTTAAAATTCTTCTTTTGTGTCTCTGTTGGTTCTTTGAAAAAATAATATACAAAATGCACCTTGAAAAATATCCTTCAAATTTCACTTTGGATAAATAGTCTCATTTCTCGATCAAAAAAAAAAAAAGAAAACAAAAAAAAAGATACAATTGACGTCTGTACTTCCATTAACCTGTCGTCTATTTTCCTATTTCCCTCTGTTTTCCCCCTTTATTGACTCAATATTTTTATCTTTCCATTTTTTTTCTTCATTTCAGGTAACCGTTGTCTATGGCATCATCTTTATCTCGGCCCTGGTGGGCAATGTTCTGATTTGCGTGGTTATTGTCAGGCACGAGTCCATGCACTCGGCCACGAACTATTATCTCTTCAGTTTGGCGGTGTCAGATCTCATTTTTCTCATATTTGGTAAGACCGCTAAAAAAAATAACTATGGCCAACTAAAATAGTTAGTTGTGTTATCTAATCATATGATCTGGCAATGATTTGCTGTTGATTGGCGTTGATAAGGCCAGATGATAGCTGATTAGATTAGCTAACCTTTATTTAGAAATTAACAAGTTAATAAATATTTAAATGAGTTGTTCGTGGGTTATGATAAAAAAAATGGCAAAAAACATTTTTGACATCCAAACATGTTGAAATAAAAACAAATTGTGGGAACTTTACAATTTGCCAAAAAAAAAACTATTCAAAAAATGAATTTCAATATCTCTTTTTCAAAGTCATTCAATAACTTTATTTCACATATTGACTATTTCCCCCAACTTATGTTGGGCGTTTTTTTTTCCCAAAAAAAAGTATCTCGTTTGCATAAAACTTTGACTAAATGTAAACTATAAACTTATTCACCCTCCCACTCACACATACTCAGATGTTATCGATACCACAATTTCCTTTGCCATTTCAGTGGCTTTTAGACAAATATCCTTCCTTCAACACTCTTTGAAAATAAACTGGCGAAGCGGAAAAAACACAAACAAATATTGGAAGTTATATGGAAAAAGCCACAGCTGGGCGAATCCGACCAAAGGATGCCCTTCATAAGCTGAAGGTCGTGGATAAAAAATAGTTAAAAATACGTTTATTGGTAATTTAGTCATTATTCGTTAAAAATCCACGTTTACTTGGGCTTTGAATCTTGAAAAAAATATTCTTTAAAAAATATTCTTTGGTCCTTGAAAAAAGTAATCTCTAAAAATTAACAATTTTTGGGTCTTTAAAAAATATTCTTCAGGTTTATTTTTCCTTTGGTCCTTGAACAAAAATTCTTTAAAAAATGCACGTTCCTCGATCTATAGGTCCTTGAAAAAAAATTCTTTAAAAAATCCACGTACCTTGATTAATAGGTCCTTAAAAAATTCTTTAAAAAATACACGTACCTTGATCTATGAGTCCTTGAAAAAAATTCGTAAAAAATCCACGTTTCTTGATCTAAAGGGCCTTGAAAAAAATTCTTTAAAAAATCCACGTTTCTCGACCTATAGGTACTTGAAAAGAAAATCTTTAAAAAATCCACGTACCCTTGACCTATAGGTCCTTGAAAGGAAGTTCTTCAAAAAATCCACGTGCCTTGATCTGTAGGTCCTTGAAAAAAATTCTTTAAAAAATTCACATTCCTTGATCTATAGGTCCTTGAAAAAATCCAAATTCCTTGATCTATAGGTCCTTGAAAAAAAAATTATTTAAAAAATTCACATTCCTTGATCTATAGTTCCTTGAAGTTCTTTAAAAAATCGACGTTCCTTGATCTATAGGTCCTTGAAAAAAAAAATCTTTAAACATTTCACGTACCTTGATCTATAGGTCCCTGAAAAAAAATTCTTAAAAAAAATTCAATTTTTTTGATCTGAAGGTTTTTGAAAAAAAAAAAAATCTTAAAAAAATCCACGTTCCTTGACCTATAGGTCCTTGAAAAAAAATCTTTAAAAATCCTTGAGCTATAGATCTTTGAAAACAAAAATCTTAAAAAATCCACGTTCCTTGACCTATAGGTCCTTGAAAAAAACTCTTTAAAAATCCAAATTCCTCGATCTAAAAGTTTTGTCATTGAAAATATATTCTTTCAAAAATCAACGTTTATTTTGTCATTGAAAAAATATTTTTTTTTTTTAAAAAGCCACATTCCTTGATCTAAAGGTTTCGTCCTTGAAAAAAATTATTCTTTAAAAAATCCACGTTTATTTAGTCCTTGAAAAAAATTATTCTTTAAAAAATCCACGTTTATTTGGTCCTTGAAAAAATTATTCTTTAAAAAATCCACGTTTATTTGGTCCTTGAAAAAATTATTCTTTAAAAAATCCACGTTTATTTGGTCCTTGAAAAAAAATATTCTTTAAAAAATCCACGTTTATTTGGTCCTTGAAAAAATTATTCTTTAAAAAATCCACGTTTATTTGGTCCTTGAAAAAAAAATATTCTTTAAAAAATCCACGTTTATTTGGTCCTTGACAAAAATTATTCTTTAAAAAATCCACGTTTATTTGGTCCTTGAAAAAATTATTCTTTAAAAAATCCACGTTTATTTGGTCCTTGAAAAAAGTAATCTTTAAAAAATCCACGTTTATTTGTCCTTTGGTCCTTGAAAAAAGTAATCTTTAAAAAATCCACATTTATTTGTCCTTTGGTCCTTAAAAAAAGTAATCTTTGCGTTTATTTGGTCCTTGAAAAAAGTAATCTTTACAAAATCCACGTTTATTTGTCCTTTGGTCCTTGAAAGAAAAAATATTTAAAAAATCCACTTTTATTGGTCTTTTGGTCCTTAAAAAAAATATTTTCTTTAACAAATCCTCGATTTTCCGCCCAAATTTTTCAACAACCTATTTTGCTGTTGTAGGGTATCCAAAAAACAATTTAAAATTTAACCCTTTTCGCCATAGACTCCAAAAACACGCAGTAATAAAAAATAAACGAAAACAAATAATAATTTCAATACTTTATGATGATTGTTGGTCTTCTTTTTGTGTGTTTTCTTAGCGGAAATGAAGAACCCCACCAACATCGTTGTCTGATTTGCTGTAATATCCTGTAACGGTTTTTTTTTACTTCTTCTACCACTTCATACCCCATCGTTTATTTTATAACCATCTGTTATGGGATTTATGAACACAAACGAAATCAATTGGAATTCGGTGGGGGCGGAGGGCTATAGAAAAATGAACACATTCGAGTACTGTTCCCCTACGGATGCCAGGCTCAATTTTGCCGGGACTGGTGGATGTGTCAGAATTTATGTGTTCGGATGAATACATTCCAATGAAATGAAAAACAATGTATCATCTTCGTGGCAACAATAAAAACCAAATGCTACACATACAAAAAATAGTATATGTGTGTGTACATACATGTGTAAATATACATGTATATGTGTAAATGGTGGCACCCAATAAAAGGAATATATGTATGACTATTTTTTTCCCCACATAAGTGTTTCACTACTTGTAAGGGATCATCACTTTTTGGAGGGGTTGTCTATCTGCCACAAACTGTAAGCCGGAGGGTGATTAGTTTATGGATGGAAATTCTCTGTGCCGACAAATTTTATTTTCAGTTTAAGAGGGACTGGGGAGAATTGAAATTCCAAATTGTATTAAATTTTAAACCATATAATTATTTGATAAAAATGCTGGCAAGTATAATATGTAAGCAAATATCCTTCAAAGTCAAAGATTATTGATCCGAATGTCCTTGAAAGATATTCTTCAATAATCTACATTTATTTATCCGAACGCCCTTCAAAAAATATTTTTTAAAAAATCCACGATTATTGGTCTTTTGGTCCTTGAAAAATTATTCTTTAAAAATCCACATTTGTTTATCCGAATGTCCTTCGAAAAATATTCTTTAAAAAATCCACGTTTATTCGTCCTTTGATACTTGAAAAAATATTCTTTACAAAATCCACGTTTATTGGTCCTTTGGTCCTTGAAAAAATATTCTTTAAAAAATCTACGTTTATTCGTCCTTTGATACTTGAAAAAATATTCTTTACAAAATCCACGTTTATTGGTCCTTTGGTCCTTGAAAAAATATTCTTTAAAAAATCCACGTTTATTCGTCCTTTGATACGTGAAAAAATATTCTTTAAAAAATCCACGTTTGCTGATATAAAGGTCCTTGGAAAAATATTCGTTAAAAAATCCTCCTTTATTGGTCCTTGAAAAAATATTCTTTAAAAAATCCACGTTTGCTGATATAAAGGTCCTTGGAAAAATATTCGTTAAAAAATCCTCCTTTATTGGTCCTTGAAAAAATATTCGTTAAAAAATCCACGTTTATTGGTCCTTTGGTCCTTGAAAAAAATATTCTTTAAAAAATCCACGTTTATTGGTCCTTTGGTCCTTGAAAAAAATATTCTTTAAAAAATCCACGTTTGCTGATATAAAGGTCCTTGGAAAAATATTCGTTAAAAAATCCTCCTTTATTGGTCCTTGAAAAATATATTCTTTAAAAAAACCTCCTTTATTGGTCCTTGAAAAAAATATTCTTTAAAAAATCCACGTTTATTGGTCCTTGAAAAAAATATTCTTTAAAAAATCCACGTTTATTGGTCCTTTGGTCCTTGAAAAAAATATTCTTCAAAAATCCACATTTATTTATCCGAATGTCCTTCGAAAAATATTTTTTTAAAAAATCCACGATTATTGGTCTTTTGGTCCTTGAAAAATTATTCTTAAAAAAAATCCACGTTTATTTGGTCCTTGAAAAAAATATTCTTAAAAAAAATCCACGTTTATTTGGTCCATGAAAAAATATTCTTAAAAAAATCCACCTCTGTTGGTCCTGAAAAAAATATTCTTAAAAAAATTCACGTCTGTTGGTCCTGAAAAAATATTCTTTAAAAAATCCACCTTTATTGGTCCTTGAAAAAATATTCTTTAACAAATCCACGTTCTATTGATCCTTGGGAAAATATTCTTTAGAAAGTCCACGTTTATTGTTCAGAAGGTATTCGAAGGAAATTTTTTTAAAAATCTGTATTTATTGGTCTTTTGGTCCTCGACAAAAATATACTTTAAAAAACCCACGTTTATTGTTCAGATGGTCCTCGAAAAAATAGTTTTTAAAAATCTGTTTTTATTGGTCCTTTAAAATATCCACGTTTTTTGGTCAGATTATCCTTAAAAAAATATACTTTAAAAACTCGATGTTTCTTATCCATTCACAGAAATTAAAATCTATTTTCAAAAATTCCTACAATTCGCTGTCTATTTATAACTTCACCAAAAACTAAATCGATAACCTCTAACCATGCACCGCATCAACTTTATTAAATGATTCGCCATAATTTGTTTTAATAAATGTTCTCTTATTTCCAATAATTTTTCAAAATGTCACGGAACTGTTTGTTTTTCCATAGTTCAATAAAAGTTTTTGACAAATTTTATATTTATTTTCCTCCAAACACTCCCCTTCCCCCTCCTCCCACCATGGAATTGCATGATGTTGCGAATTTGTGCACAGAGCTCTGGGTGGTTTTGTTTCTGTACTTTTATGAACTCACTTTCAGTGGGATAACAAAATTTCTAAAAGCTTCTCGGAGGCGGCAATGGGATGATGCCACTTTTTTCCGAACATTTTATTTTAAACCATATTTCATATATTGTTGGCTTCGTTTTTTTTCTGTTTGTTTCTGTTTCTCTTTGCTGTCAAATCTGTCATGTGTATGAAATATTGCACTTTAATAAAAATGTTCAAAAACTCTCGAATCCACTAGGGGGTCACATAAAAATCATAACTTATGTATTAGCGAGGATACGGTTTTTATGTGGACTTGTGTTAGTCATAAAAACATATTCTATGAATAGATTTAGCAAATGTGTGGGGGCAGGGGGGTAGGGGAGATTAAATGCCATAATGTTGAATAACAATTTATCATTGTGTGCAGGATCTGAGGTATTTTTAAATTGTAGAACAGCGACTGAATGTTATTTATAAATTACATTTTGACAGCATATAGGTCCTGAGAGACTGAAGAAATTATTCTTGATTTTTTCCACTAAACGTGGATTTTTTAAAGAAAATTTTATTAATGACCAACTAAACGTGGATTTCTTTAAGGACTAAATAAACGTGGATTTCTTAAAGAATATTTTTTCAAGGATCAATAAACGTGGATTTTTTAAAGAATATTTTTTAAAGGACCAAATAAACCTGGACTTTTTAAAGAAAATTTTTTCAAGGATCAAATAAACGTGGATTTTTTAACGAATATTTGTTCAAGGACCTTTCAAGCAATAAACGTGGATTTTTTAAAGAATATTTTTTCAAGGACCAAATAAACCTGGACTTTTTAAAGAAAATTTTTTCAAGGATCAAATAAACGTGGATTTTTTAACGAATATTTGTTCAAGGACCTTTCAAGCAATAAACGTGGATTTTTTAAATAATATTTTTTCAAGGACCAAAAAACGTTGACTTTTTAAAAAATAGTTTTTCAAGGACCAAAAAACGTTGACTTTTTAAAAAATAGTTTTTCAAGGACCAAAAAACGTGAATTTTTTAAAGTATATTTGTTTAAGGACCAAAAGAACGTGGATTTTTTAAATAATATTTTTTTAAGAAAATTTTATCAAGGACCAAATAAAAAATCGGTCAACTCCTTCTAATACCTCCCCCATAAAAGGTCAACATTTCACAAAAAAAAAAAAAAAAACCGCATGAAAAGAGGAAGGATTATTCGATTTTCTGCAGACGTTGCAAATCCCAATATTTTTGTCAGTGCTAGGTCAGCTGCGGAATTATTTGCCTTATGAAGTACGAAATAAGCACCCGATTCTCTTCATTCTTCATGCATTCCAAAATTTCTACTAACACAAGATCTGTTTTGAAAATGGTACCTCCCTCACAAAAGGGTCCAACATTGTGAATAACCAAAATACTTATAGAAAGAGATATAAAAATCCGATTCTTTTTAAATTTAACACATCCCAATATTTTTACTAACGAAAGATCTGGCATGAAGATGGAATATAAAATTCAAGATTTTCCTTGAAAAAATATTCTTAAAAAAATCCTCGTCTGTTGGTCCTTGAAAAAATAGGCTTTAAAAAAATCACGTTTAATTGGTCCTTAGAAAAATATTCTTAAAAAATTCCACGTCTGTTGGTCCTTGAAAAAATAGGCTTTAAAAAATCCACGTTTAATTGGTCCTTGAAAAAATATTCTTTAAAAAATCCACGTTTAATTGGTCCTTGAAAAAATATTCGTTAAAAAATCCACGTTTAATTGGTCCTTGAAAAAATATTCGTTAAAAAATCCAAGTTTATTTGTCTCTGGGTTCTTGAAAAATTATCTTTAAAAGTTCACGTTTATTAATTGGAAGGTCCTTTAAAAAATATTCTTTAAAAAGTCCACGTTTATTAATTGGAAGGTCCTTGAAAAAATATTCTTTAAAAAGTCCACGTTTATTAATTGGAAGGTCCTTGAAAAAATATTGTTTAAAAAATCCACGTTTATTAATTGGAAGGTCCTTGAAAAAATATTGTTTAAAAAATCCACGTTTATTGATCGGAAGGTCCTTGAAAAAATATTCTTGCAAAAATCCACGTTTATTGATCGGAAGGTCCTTGAAAAAATATTCTTGCAAAAATCCACGTTTATTGATCGGAAGGTCCTTCAAAAAATATTCTTTAAAAAATCCACGTTTATTAATTGGAAGGTCCTTGAAAAAATATTCTTTAAAAAATCCACGTTTATTAACTGGAAGGTCCTTGAAAAAATATTCTTTAAAAAATCCACGTTTATTAATTGAAAGGTCCTTGAAAAAATATTCTTTAAAAAATCCACGTTTATTAATTGGAAGGTCCTTGAAAAAATATTCTTTAAAAAATCCACTTTTATTAATTGGAAGGTCCTTGAAAAAATATTCTTTAAAAAATCCACGTTTATTAATTGAAAGGTCCTTGAAAAAATATTCTTTAAAAAATCCACGTTTATTAATTGGAAGGTCCTCGAAAAAATATTCTTGCAAAAATCCACGTTTATTGATCGGAAGGTCCTTGAAAAAATATTCTTTAAAAATCAACCTTTATTTGTCCTTTGGTCCTTGAAAAAATATTCTTTAAAAAATCCACGTTTATTTGTCCTTTGGTCCTTGAAAAAATATTCTTTAAAAAATCCACGTTTATTATTTGGAAGGTCCTTGAAAAAATATTCTTTAAAAAATCCACGTTTTATTGGTCCATGAAAAAATATTCTTTAAAAAATCCACGTCTGTTTGGTCCTTGAAAAAATATTCTTTAAAAAATCCACGTCTGTTTGGTCCTTGAAAAAATATTCTTTAAAACATCCACGTCTGTTTGGTCCTTGAAAAAATATTCTTCAAAAAAATCCACGTCTGTTTGGTCCTTGAAAAAATATTCTTAAAAAAATCCACGTCTGTTTGGTCCTTGAAAAAATATTCTCTAAAACATCCACGTCTGTTTGGTCCTTGAAAAAATATTCTTTAAAAAATCCACGTCTGTTTGGTCCTTGAAAAAATATTCTTCAAAAAAATCCACGTCTGTTTGGTCCTTCAAAAATATTCTTAAAAAAATCCACCTTTGGTTGTCCTTTGGTCCTTGGAAAAATATTCTTTAAAAAATCCACGTTTATTGGTCTGGGGTCCTTGAAAAATATTCTTTAAAAAAAATCCACGTCTGTTTGGTCCTTGAAGAAATATTCTATATTCTATATATATATTCTTTAAAAAATCCAACTTTATTTGGTGTTGGCAAAAATGTTCTTTTAAAATCCATGTTTATTTGGGCCTTGAAAAATATATTTTTAAAATCCATGCTTATTTGGTCCTTGAAAAAATATTTGGTCCTTTGGTCCTTGAAAAAATATTCTTTAAATAATCCACGTTTATTAATTGGAAGCTCCTTGAAAAAATATTCTTAAAAAAATCCACGTTTATTTAGTCCTTGAAAAAAGTAATCTTTAAAAAATCAGCGTTTATTTAGTCCTTGAAAAAATAAATCTTTAAAAAATCCACGTTTATTTAGTCCTTGAAAAAAATAATCTTTAAAAAATCAGCGTTTATTTAGTCCTTGAAAAAAGAAATCTTTAAAAAATCCACGTTTATTTGGTCCTGAAAAAAAAATTCTTTAAAAAATCCACGTTTATTTGGTCCTTGAAAAATATTCTTTAAAAAATCCACGTTTATTAAATCCACGTTAATAATTGGAAGATCCTTGAAAAAATATTCTTTAAAAAATCCTCGTTTATTTTGTCCTTGAATTTTTAAAGCATATTTTCTCAAGGACATTTCCTCCTAATAAATTCTAGGTAAATCCTAGCCATCTTTAATATTTCATTCGAATCATTTTGCCTCCCCTCCCTCTGTGAAATTTTCAATTTGATTAATTTTGCCAATTTATTTAATGCCTAAAAGTCATAAATTATCATCTTAAAAAAGAAAATTCAATCAGCTGCCATAAATAATTTATGCAAACATTGTTAAATGATTTATTTTCTGAGAGAGAGAGAGCCTCATAAAAAAGCTTTACAAATATTGAGAAAAATATTTCCGAACAACTGTTTAATGTTGGCAACAGAAAACATAACCCCGAGTAGCAATAAAGCATTTCTTTGTCTAATATCCTGTTTTTCCTTTTTTTCTACTCTCTGCTGTTGTTGATATTTGCAGGACTGCCTACGGAAGTGTTTCTCTATTGGCATCAGTATCCATTTCTGTTTGGCCTAACATTTTGCAAAGTGCGGGCCTATATATCAGAAGCGTAAGTCGCAAATAAATCTCTTTTTTTTTTTGCTTTATTTATTTTCATTTTTTTATATTTGCCTAATAATGATTTTTTACGTTCCCATCCCCCCGAAAATCCCCCCAGTTGCAGTTATGTTTCCGTCTTTACCATTGTGGCATTCTCCGTGGAACGCTATCTGGCCATTTGCCACCCATTGAACTCTTACGCCATGTATGGCTTTAAGAGAGCTCTGCGTATAATAGGCGGCCTATGGCTACTTAGCTTCATTGCAGCCATACCGTTTGGCATGCTAAGCGAAATTCAATATCTCAGCTATCCTCCAGGTAAGCATCGGAAGTACTAATTATCCTGGATTACAGCTGAGAGTTGTGAATGGCTTTCTTCCTCTTTTGTTTATATCCTGCAGACAATGAAACCATCTGTGACTCGGCAATGTGTGCCATGTTTCCTCCGGAAGAATGGTATGTCTTTGAGGCCTCCTTTCTGTTTTTCTTCCTGATTCCCATGATAATGATCATCTATTTCTATGGGCGTATGGGTGCGGAGATTCGAGCAAGGACGGTGCAGAAATTGGGTAAGTTGGGGGGAAACTCCTACTCATTTCTTATTTTTTCTTTTTTTCTAAATGAAGTGATGTAAGTTAAGGGAAATTATTATTTAATTTTTTGTTTTTGTTTTTTTAAGGTGTCCAAAGAGGATCTCTGCATAGGCCATCCAGACACGAGCAGTCCAGGAAAGCTGTCATCAGGATGTTGGGTAAGCACACATTTGTTTTAAACTGGCATGCAAATATATATTCACCCAGCAGTTAAAAAGGCAAATGTAAAGATAAGGCTGGATTTTTCTAAATTCGTACCAGAATAGTACGAAAAGTACTAAAAGGTACTAAATATGGTATCCTTTGTATTTGAGGAAGCAATAGAGCTAGAAATTAAATTTAAATTTGGAATGAGAGTCATTGATGGAGTGCATGACGGACATAACAAAGGATTTTTGGAAATTCGTACTATAAGTGTACGAAAAGTACTTAAATGTTCTAAATTTAGTACAATTTCGTAGCATGTAAACGGTTAGAGCTAAAAACTTGAAATTTGGAATGGAAATCAAGGTTGAAGAGTACTGACGATGTAAGAAGCTAATTTTGGAAGTGCCTTATCAAGTACTAAATGGTACTAAATTTTGTACAATTTGAATTTGGGTGAATGGATGGAGCTGAAATCCTGAAATTTAAAATAAACATTACTGGTGGAGTGTAGGATTGTGATATGGAGAAAATTCTCGAAATGTGTACTTATGTACACGAAAAGTACTAAATGGTACTTAATTTGGTACAGTTTCGATTTGGGTGAACCGATAGAGCTGAAATTCTGTAATTTAGAAATAAGATTGCTACTGAATTCTAGGACTAAAAAATGTAGGGAGTTTTTGGAGATGAGTACTTTTGTGTACTAAATGGTACTAGATTTGGTACAATTTCGATTTGTGTGAACCGGTACTGCTAGAATTCTAAAAATTCAGAACTAAGATTACTATAGCATTCTAGGACTGAAAATGTAGGGAGTTTTTGGAAATGCGTACATAAATGTACTAAATAGTACTAGATTTGGTACAATTTTGATTTGGGTGAACCGATGGAACTGAAATTCTGGAATTTAGAAATACGAATACTGCATTGCATTGTTGAACTGAGGAATGTGGGAAGTTTTGGAAATACGTACTTATGTGTACTAAATGGTACTAAATTTGGTACAATTCCGATTTCATTGAATTGATAGAGCTGGAATTCTATAAATTTAGAAATAAGATTACTATAGCATTCTAGGAATGAAAAATGTAGGGAGTTTTGGAAATTCGTACTTATGTGTACTAAATGGTACTAAATTTGATATAATTTAAATTTTGAGAGAACCAATAGAGTTGGAATTCTGAAATTTGGAAATAAGATTACTGTCGAAGTGTAGGATTGGAATATGTAGGAATATTTGGAAATTTTTACTTATATGTACTAAATTCGTACTTATGTGTACTAAATTTGGTACAATTTTAATTTTGAGAGAACTGGTAGAGTTGCAATCCTGAAACTTAAAAATAAGATTACAGACTATTGGTCTGTATGATGTAAGTAGTTATGAAAATGTATACTTGAGTGTACTAAATGGTACTAAATTTGGTACAATTTGGATTCGGGAGAAACAAATACAGCTAATATTCTGAAATTTGAAAATAAGATTACTGTGGGAGTGTACGATTGGGATATATAGGTATTTTTAGAATATTATACCATTTGCACTTATATGTACTAAATTCGTACTTATGTCTACTAAATTTAGTACAATATGAATTTTGGGAGAACCGGTAGAGTTGAGATTATGAAATTTAAAAATAGGATTTCTTTTGGTCTGTATGATGGAGATAGTTATTAAAATGTATACTTAGTTGTACTAAATGGTACCAAATTTAATACAATTTGGATTTGGATGAACAAATGTGGCTGGTATTCTTAACACTGGAAATAATATTTCTATTGGACTGTATGATCTAGGTAGTTATGAAAATTTGTACTCATATGTACTAAATGGTACTAAATTTTGGTACAAATTGGAATTGTGATGAAACGATGGAACTGAAATTCTGAAAATTGTAAATAAGATTACTATCGGAGTGTAGGAATTGGGGTATGTAGTTTTTAGAGATTTGTACTAAAATGTACAATTGGATTTAGATGAACATATAGAGCTGGAATCCTGAATTATTGGAATTCCTGTGGGATTGAATCCTGTGGGAGTGTAGGGTTGGGTCATATGGGAGGTTTTGGAAATTCGTACTTATCTGTACTATATGGTACATTTTGCACTTAGGCGAACCGATAGGGATGAAATGCTTAAATTTGGAATTGGGATTACTGTGGAAGTGTAGGATTGGGGTATGTTGGCAGCTTTGGAAATTCGTACTTATATGTACTAAATAGTACTAAGATTAAAATTTGGATGAACCGATAGGGCTAGTATCCTGAAAATTGGAAATAAGATTAATGTCGGAGTGTAGGATTGGGATATGGTGGTAGTTTTATAAATTTGTACTAAAATGTACTAAATAAGGTAGAATTTGTATTTGGGCGAACCTAAAGCGAAACCTAAGCGATCCTAAAATTTGGAGTTGGGTTTACTGTGGGAGTGAAGAATTGGGGTATGTACGAAGCTTTGGAAATTCGTACTATATGGTACTAAACTGGGTACAATTTGCATTTGTGATGAACCGATGGAACTGTAATTGCGAAATTTGGAATGAGAGTCACTGATGGAGTGCAGGAGAGATGATGCATCAAAAGGGCTATTGGAAATTCGAATTTTAAGGTTACGAAAAGTTCTAAAATGGCACTAAACCTCTAAAGTGGTACCATTTGGTATTATGTTAACTGATAGAGCTAAAAACTTAAAATTTGGTATGAGAATCAAGGTTGGAAAGTAAGTTTGATATATGATGGTGGTTTCATGGATAATGTACTAAGTGTGCAAACTGTACTAAATGGTACTAAATGTGAACCAGTTTAGTTTAGGGTGAACGGACGAAGCTTTAATTTTGAAATTTTGTTTTGGGGTTTGTGATTAAAAGATAGTTTTGGAAATGTGTACTACAACTGTACGAAAAGTACTAAGTAGTAATATATTTGGTATCGGGATAACATATAGTGCTTGAAATGTGAAATTCGGTATTGGGGTCAATGTTCGTCTGTAGCCTAGAGGATTAAAAATGTGTACTGTAATTGTACAAAAAGTACTAAATGATACTAAATTTGGCTAATTTTGGAAATTTGATATTTAGATTACTGTTGGTATTTGAGGTAGGAAATTTAAGGTGATTTGGAAATGTCTCCCATATTTGTGCGAAAAGTACTTAATAGTACTAAATTTTTTATTGAGTGAAGGGATTGGGCTGGAATCCTAAAATTTTTTTATTGAAGTCGCTGTTGGTATCTGGAATTGAGATGTGGAGGCGGTTTCGGAAAGTGTGCTATAATTGTACGAAAAGTACTAAATTGTACAACATTTGATATTGGCTGAAGGGATAGAGCTGAAATCCTATAATTTGAAGCACATGTGACTGTTGGTGTATGTGGCTAAGATATGGAGGTGGGTTTGAAATGTGTACAATGATTGTACGAAAAGTACTGAATGGTACGATATTCGGTATTGGGTGAATGAACAGGGCTGAAATGTGATAATGAGATCTCCCTTGGTATCTAGAATTGAGATATGGCGCTGATTTTGGGAATGTGTGCTATAATTGTAACAAAAGTACTAGTTGGTACGAAATTTGGCATTGGATGAAGAAGTAGAGCTGTATCCTGAAATTTGGTAGAGATGCCACTATTTTGGTCAGTGGTTAAGATATGGCGGTGGTTTTGGAAGTGTGTATTATAATTGTACAAAAAGTACTAAATTTTGTATAGGGTGAAGGGATATAGCTGAAAACCTGAAATTTGATATTGTGATATCTGTTGGTATCCGAAATTGAGATACGGTTGTGGCTTTGGAAATTTGTACTATAATTGTACCAAAAGTACTAATTGATACAAAATTGGGAGTTGGGTGGAGGGATAGAACTCGAATCCCGAAATTTGATATTCAGGTCTCTGTTTGTATCTGACGTTGAGATCTGATGGTGATTTCGCAAATGCATACTATAATTGTTCGAAAAGTACTAAATGGTACTTAGTATGGATCACTGTTGTTGTCTATGATGTAGAGATGAGATTGTTTCTGATATGCGTACTAAATTTTACTTAATTTGGTATTGGGTAAAGAGATAGAGCTGAATTTCTGAAATATGATATTGAGGTCACTATTGGTTTCAAGGGTTTAGATATGGAGGCATTGAAATAGTTTTGAACAGCAAAATTGTATGAGGGTCCATTGTGCAATGGTTTTACTAATCTCCTCCTCGGTAAACATCAAAACGAAATATTTTGAGGAATTATTGGAGGAAAAGTTAAACATTTTTCCCATTTTTCTTTCCGTTCAAGGAAAATAATATATAAATCCCTGAAAGACTGAAAATTTAGTAGGATGCGTAAAGTTTTGACAAAAAATGTGCATTTTTTATACCCTCCACCATACAATGGAGGGTATATTAACTTTGTCATTCCGTTTGTAACTCCTCGAAATACTCATGTCAGACCCAACAAAGTATATATATATTCTTGATCAGCGTAAAATTCTTTAGCGACGTCCGTCTGTCTACTGTCCGTCTGTCTACTGTCCGTCTATCTGTGTGTTGTAATCACGCTATTTTTCGAACGAATTGAGATAGAAGGCTACAATTTTGCACACATGTTTATTTTTCCAGTAGGCAGGTTAAGTTCGTAAATGGGCCATGTAGGTGCACGTTTTCATATAGCCCCCATATAACGGTACCTCCGTTTATTCGGTATTTTGATGATTTTAGCGTCATTAATCACCGAAATTGTTTCAAATTTGGGATTTGAAGTTCGTAATCGGAACTACAGTCTGTGACAGAAAATTGTCTATGTAGGTCCAGGTTTTCGTATAGGTTTCGTACAGTTCTCCCTACATTCGGTATTTTGGCGAGTTTAGGTACGAAACCCACCGAAATTGTTTGAGATGTCGTATTTGAAGTTCGTAATGGATGCTACAGCTTGTGACAGAAAACTGTCTTTGCAGGTCCAGGTCTTCGTACAGCTCCGATGTAACGATATCTCTCTATATACGGCATTTTGATGATTTTAGCTAAATTAT